TGAGCTTAACAGGAGTTACATTTAATTGGAGATAATATATAGAACGAAGAAGGCCATAGTCAGAAATAATGAATAAGAATTTTCCAGAAAGTCAGAATCTGAAATCAGAATTTCCAAGTAGTTAAAGTTAGGTCTCTTCAATATATGATGTTTGGAAAACTTGACAGCTACATGCAAAAAAGAATGAAACTGGACTATTTTTTACACCATACACAAAAATAATCTCAAAGTGGACTAAAGGCCTAAATGTAAAACCTGAACCCCAAAAAAAAACCTAGAAAAGAGCATAGGCAGTAATTTTTCTGACATCAGCCATAGCAACATTTTCCCAGATGTTTCCTAAGGCATGGGAAACAAAACAAAACAAAACATTGGGACTACATCAAAACAAAAAGCTTCTGTACAGTAAAAGAAACAATCAACAAAATGAAAAGACAAACAGTTATAAAACACATTTAATTCTATGCAGATAAATACAAAGATAAATACATAATACCCATATGTATTATGGTAAGTTGCAGAACACTAATGACAAAAGACCTTAATACAAAGAAACACCAATTAGAAAAACTGTTTTAATTTAATTTTTTAAATTTTTGCAACCTTATTGAAGTATGACTGGCAAATTCAAATATTTAAGGTATACAATGTGACGCTTTCAAATATATATACATTATGAAGTGATTGTCATAATCATGTTAGTTAACATATCTATTAACTTACCTAATTACCTTTGTGTATGTATATACTTATGTGTGTGTATGTGTGTGTTTAATAAGATCACAAAAGATCTACTATTACAGCAAATTTCAAGTACACAAGTCATTATTTTTGTAGTCACCATGCTATACATTAGGTCTCTACAACTTATTCACCTTAAACTGGAATCTGTACTTTTGACCAACATCTTCCCATTTTCCCAATTTCCGGTCCTTGGTAGCCACCATTTTATTCTCTTACTATAAGTTCAATTTTTTTGGATTCCAAATATAAGTGAGAGTTTTCAGTATTGATCTTTCCACGTCTAACTTACTCTACTTGGTGCTATGTCCTCCAAGTTAATCCATACTGTTATAAATAACAGGATTTCTTTCTTTTTATTTTCTTTTGATTTTTTTAATTTTATTTATTTATTCATGATACACACAGAGAGAGAGAGAGAGAGAGAGAGAGAGAGAGAGAGGCAGAGACACAGGCAGAGGGAGAAGCAGGCTCCATGCAGGGACCCCGACGTGGGACTCGATCCTGGGTCTCCAGGATCAGGCCCTCGGCTGAAGGTGGCGCTAAACCACTGAGCCACTGCGGCTGCCCTTCTTTCTTTTTAAAACTGAGTAATGTTTAATTTGGGTGTGTGTGTACCACATTTTCTTTATCTATTCGTCAGTTAATGGACACTTGGGTTTTTTCCACATACTGGAATAATTATTAGTTATTGTGAATAATGCAGCAATGAACATGGAAGTGCAGCTCTTTGAGACACTGATTTTACTTTCTTTTTCTTTTTTTTATTTTTTTTTTAATTTTTATTTATTTATGATAGTCACAGAGAGAGAAAGAGAGAGAGAGAGAGAGGCAGAGACACAGGCAGAGGGAGAAGCAGGCTCCATGCACCGGGAGCCCGACGTGGGATTCGATCCCCGGTCTCCAGGATCGCGCCCTGGGCCAAAGGCAGGCGCCAAACCGCTGTGCCACCCAGGGATCCCTGATTTTACTTTCTTTGGATATATATCCAAAAGTGGGATTCCTGGATAATGTAGTAGTTCTATTTTCAATTTTTTGAAGAGCTTCCATAATGGATATACTGATTTATGTTCCCACCAATGATGTACAAGTGTGTATCCTTTTCTCTACCTCCTTACTAATACTTGTTATCTTTTGACCTTTTGGTAATAGTTATTGTAACAAGTATGAAGTGAAATCTAATTGTGGTTTCCATTTGCATGTCCCTACTTTGGTATTTGTTGTTTCCTTTCTTCTGATAACTTTTGGTTTGGTTTGCTCTTCTTTTTCTAATTTTTTGATATGTATAGTTATTTTAATTTGACGTCTTACTGTTTTCTTAAGTGCTTACCACTATGAACTTTCCTGATAGAACTATTTTTGCTATATCTATCTCACAAGTTTTGATATGTTGTGCCTCCATTATAATGTTTTAAGATTCTTTTTTCTATTTCTTTTTTTACTTCTTCTTTGATCCGTTGGTTGTTCAGGAACATGTTGTTTAATTTCCACATAGTTGTGAATTTTCTGATTTTCTCCTGCTAATTGATTTCTGGTTTTATATATACCACTGTGGCCGGAAAAGTTAATTGATATAATTTCAATCTTCCTAAATTTGTTAAGACTTGTTTTGTGACTTATCAGGTGATCTATCCTGGAGAATGTTCCATGTGCACTTTAGAAGAATGTGTATTCTGCTGCTGTTGGATGGAGTGTTGTATTTACGTTTGGGAGGTCCATTTGGTCTAAAGTGTAATTCCTTTTTTTTTTTTTTTATTTTTTATTTTTTATAAATTAATTTTTATTGGTGTTCAATTTACCAACATACAGAATAACACCCAGTGCTCATCCCGTCAAGTGTCCCCCTCCGTGCCCGTCACCCATTCACCCCCACCCCCCGCCCTCCTCCCCTAAAGTGTAATTCCAGTTCAACGTTTCCTTATTGATTTTCCATCTGAATGATCTATCCATTATTTTTAAGTGGGGCATTGAAATCTTCTATTATTATTGCATTGCTATTTCTCCCTTTGCAACTATTAATAAGTGCTTTATAAATTTAGGTTCTCCAAAATTGGGTGCATATATGTTTGCAATAGTTATATTCTCTTGATGATTTGGCCCCCTTATTATATAATGACCTTCATTATCTCTTGATATAATTCTTTATTTAAGGTCTGCTTTGTCTACTATAAGTATGACTACTGTTGCTCTCTTTTGGTTTCCATTGGCATGGAATATCTATTTCCATCCCTTCACTTTCAGCCTATTTGTGTGTCTTCTTCCAATCCTAGAGTTGGTCCAGCTTTCTACATGTACTTGCTTGCTTTCTGCAAAGGCTCCCATTCATTGTCCATGGAGGCATGTGCAGGGTACCAGCTACTAGGGGTTGATGAGGCAAGTGGCACATTGAAGTGGGTGAGTCAGTTGATGGGTCTGTAAAAGAAGCATCCCAAGTGGCAAATGGGTGGGCTTCCTAATGGAGTATGTTAAGTGGTAGGATCCATGTCCCTTTAATGAGTTCTGAGCCCTGGTTGTCATGCTGCCAGCCTCTCCCAATCCCTCAGCCACATCAGTCACCTCTTCAGAATTGAGCAAGACAGAAGTGGGCCTTCTGAACAGCGTCCCACTTGGCTGGTCTGGGGAAGCTGGGCGCTCACTCCCTATGCTTTCACTTTCCCCACGAGAGAAATCAAAAGCCCAAGTGTACTTTCTTGGCACTGAGCTGTGCTGCTTTGGGAGAGAGGTGATGTGGGTAAAGTAAAACTGTTCTTCTCATCCTCTTCAAAGAAATTATTCATAGATTTTTTTGGTACAACTGTGTGCTGAAACTTATCCACTGAACTCTTGGACTCCCACAAAGCTACTCTTGGCCATTAATGACTGTCACAATCAATGTTTTGTGGTGGGGATATTGGTAGAAAACATCTATTCTGCTGTATTGCTGACCTGATAACTATGTTTTCAAGAGTAACAATGAAGCTAGAAAACCATGCAATAATATCTTTAGAAATCAAGACAGATTTTGCCTCTGAGATAGATACAGTCATTTTAGATTGGGTGAGGAACACAGGCAGAGAAATATCTTCCTAATTTGTCTTGCTAATTCCACATCTCTATACCCCCAGTACATACAACAGATGTAAATTCAGTGACTATTATTTGTTTAGCAAGCAATATCTACTTGTGATTTCAGAAGTAAATAAAACATAGCCTCAGCTGCACAGAACAATGGCCCTTCCCTCAAAGATATCCACACCCTGCTCCCCTAAATCTGTGAAAATGTAACCTCACATAGCAAAAAGGACTTTGCAAGTGTGATTAAGGTAAGGATCTTGAGATGGAACCATTGTGCTGGATTATCTGGCTTGGCCTGAGGTAATCACAAGGGTCCTCATAAGAAGGAGGCAGAGGGTTCAAGTCAGAAAAAGGACATGTGGCAATGGCAGCTGAGGTTGGAGTGACACAATCTAATGGTGGAGGATAAGGCCATGGATTAAGGGATACAGATATCCTATAGGAAGCTAGGAGAGGTGAGGAGACAGATTCTTCCCTTCTAGAACCTCTCAAAGAAAGGCAGACCTGCTGACATCTTGCTTTAGTCCTAAAATACTCATTTTGCACACCTGACCTTTAGGACTGTAAGAGAACAAATGCATGCTGTTTTAAGCCATTAAGTTGGTGGTACTTTGTTCACAGCAAGTAAGGAAACCAATTCCCAGTATTTCATACTCTCTTATAAGGACTCTGTGCTATATAACACTTATGAGTGGTTAAGAAATAATTATTATAATGTACTTGTTTGGCTCAGAAGAGGGGATGGAGAATAGAGAAGAAAGGGACAAATATTTTTATAGAGAAATCAAACATGAGCTAAATCTGGAAACTTGTGCATTTGCCAGGCAAATAAACCCATGGATTATCTCTCTCCACATGCCTTCCCCACCTCCCTAAGCATGGGGTTTCAATTAGGTGCTCCTCATATGGGCTCACAGAGCATGCTGGTCATTGTCAGACTTGGGTCACTTGTGCTTTTTACTCCCTGTTATAATAGTGGGAATCCTCTTCTATTGGGGTTTATGTCTCTGGCAATAAAGGAGGACCTGGTCAATAATGGACATGGAACATGGTTTTTCAAATCAATGAATTGTGGAAAAGGAAATGTTATGAAGGACATAGAGATGTGAGTCTACCAGTATTTTCAAGGAACCAAGTGTCATTCAGTTTTATTGGAGCATAAGATTCAACTCAAGAGGAACAGAGATTGAAGAGCTGTATCTCACCTGTTGCTGAATAATATTATATTGGGCACCTTCGACCGTGTAATTCTCTTTCCATAGCTTCTGATGTTATTAGGGTGACTTAGTGAAGCATTTTCAGTTGGAATTCATGGTTCTGGACCTGTATTATGGATTGAAATGACCGTTCTCATCAAATTAGTTGCTATTTCCTTTCATTTAATCTCAACCAAATTGAATACACCCTTCAGTTTTCCAGCTCCATGCCATTGTCAAAGTTCTTCATTCATCCACTTTTACCTGAAAATTTCCAAGTCCTTCATACCCAACCAAATCTCCAACTTTTTGTCCTTCAAGTTTATCTAAATTTCCATCTAAATGAACATTTTCCTGATTTTTTCCCATACTCACCTTCAGATAGGAATTATTTTCTCTCTCTAATAAAACCTATAGTGCTTTATCCTTCTCTTATGAAAGTCTATCACTTTGGATGCCAGTCATGTTGCAGTTCGTGCCACTTTCTCCTCATGTCTGGATTTAAACATCTCTAGGATGATCTCTTACTCATCCATTCAATTTTGTCTCTTTCAATACCCAACTTAAATTTAAAACACTATATGCTCAATAACAGTATACTGAATTAATTTTATTTTGAAACTAACACCAGTATAAAGTGTGATGAGTGGATTAGTATAAATCCAATGTGTTATTTGATTCATTCTTCTGATATAATGTGTGAAGTGTATTAAATAATGTTCCCAAAAGCTGATGGATACATTTCCCAGTTATGCAAATTTACATTTATAGTGCAAGATGAGTTTTGTCATCTGTCAGAGAAAGTAGAATCTATTCTTAAGGCTTTTCAAGTTTTGTCCTTTTAAAGCAACAGGTGGGCATTATTCCTGCAGGCAAGTCTGCATTGCACCTTGAAAACAGCAAACAGCCACATAAATCAGCTGTATTCTTTCATAGAATGGTTAGAGAAATGTACAAAATTACACAAAAAGAAACACATAAAGCCTAAGAGAATTCATGATCACAAAAGGTTTCACCTTACTTAATATTTTAGATGAGACTCTTGATAAGTAAAAGTAGTTTTTGCTCTTTTTGTTGTGTTTAATGTGTGTGATTCACATCTAAGAGAATAAAATGTCAAACCTCCCCTCACCTAAGTAGGAAAGCCTTCAAAATTTGATCAAGCGGTGACCTCTAGAGTATAACATTTTCTAAAGAATATCCCAAAGCTAGCAGCCATAAATAAATAAATAAATAAATAGATAAACAAACTAATAAAAATGCAGCCCTTAGCAGACACAGATTTACTAATCAGTCACTTGGAGAGGAAATGTGTAAACACTGTGGATATTTTTCATATTGATCATAACTCTTGCCCAAATCATGAGAAGGCTTATAAAATAAGCTATACAGGGTTGCCACGCACTTGTGAGTTCAGTGTGTATAAAAGGCTTCATTGAACAATGTTATGCTTTGTACCAGGTGCTCTGCTGGTTTGTTTTTGTTTCTGTTTTTGTTTTTGTTTTTGTTTTTGTTTTAAGAAAGAGAAAGAGCTGAGAGCGAGGGGAATGGAAAAGGGCAGAGGGAGAGGGATAACGAGAATCATGAACAGGCTCCATGCCCAATGCGGAGCATGACCTGGAACTTTTTCTTATTATCCTGAGATCATCGATTGCTTAACTGATGGAGCCATCCAGACACCCCTCTGCTGGTTTTAAGCATGTGTTTGCAAATAGAAGTGCTAATTGTTTACGCACTTGCTCAAATGCATAGTCGATGGATTCAGGGTAATTTTACCATTTACCTTTTTCTCTTTTTTTAAGATTTTATTTATTTATTCATGAGAGACACACACACACACACACAGAGAGAGAGAGAGAGGCAGAGACACAGGCAGAGGGAGAAGCAGGCTCCATGCAGGGAGCCCAATGTGGGACTCGATCCCGGGACTCCAGGATTAGGCCCTGGGCCAAAAGTGGCACTAAACCACTGAGCCATCCAGGCTGCCCCTACCTTTTTCTTATAATTAATGTAGAATAATGAAAGAACACTTTAAAAAATGAAAAAACACAGTGTTCTCTGAAGCATATTCACATCAAACATGGAGCACATTCACACTGAATGTAAATGTAGAGGCCAGATTATAAAATGATTTTGGGCTTCAAATAGATAAGTCAAACATCAAAAATTATTGACATTCAGGGTCTTCTGAGTTCTAAAAAGTTACCAAAAAAGCCCCTAAACATTATTTAATAAATTTAAGTATCACATATTTAATATTTATCAATAATTGGCCTCTCTAAAACTAAAGGTGAACGATTAAAAAAAAATAAGCCATTATCTTGGCAAAACATTAGCCAATAAACTTAAGCATGAAAAAAGAAAAAAAATAATGCTATATTTTTTAAAACTTTCTTTAAAGTTGGTTTCTTGAGTTTTTCAAGAACTCATAAGAAGGATGAGTATATGTTGCTTTCTCCTCATTGCAATGCAGCCACTCACCCCACATTTGCACAGACCAGGGGCTTTATGCTGGGCTGTGCCATAGGCAGGTTTGGTTCTCAGGACACATCTCCTTGACTCTCCTCTCACCATGACTCTGATTGCCACAACCAGACCTGAAAAGAAAGAAGAAAAATATAGATGAGATTTAGGTGAAAATAAGTCTAGTCAAGACCTAGTATGCATGCCATTCTGTTAGCTCCTTTTCTTTTCCACCTAAGAGTCTATCTTGAGAATTTTTATTGCATTACATATTTGTCCAGCTCAATTGATGCTGATTCCACTGTAGGAATGAGCATAAACATGATTTAAACATAATTCATGTATGGACAGCCCGGGTGGCTCAAAAGTTTAGCACCACCTTCAGCCCAAGGCCTGATCCTAGAGACCTGGGATCAAGTCCCATGTCAGGCTCCCTGCATGGAGCCTGCTTCTCCCTCTGCCTGTGTCTCTGCCTCTCTCTCTCTCTCTCTCTCTCTCTCTCTCTCTCTCTCTGTGTGTGTGTGTGTGTGTGTGAGAGATGAATAAATAAAATCTTTTAAACAAATAAAATTAAAATTAAAAAATAAACATAATTCATGTCATCTACTGATTAAACAATTTTTTTCCGTACTGAGAGTGAAGGATACAGTAAGGCATTTTTAAAACTCTTTGAAGAAAACTATATTCATTAGCAATTACATTTGCCTTTTTATAGCACATATTCTCCTGAAGTTGCTTAAACAAGTTAGATGTTTATTTTTCTCTCTTAAAAAAAAAAAAAGTGTAGTGTTTGGCAGCTCAAGGCTGGCAGGGCTGCTCTGATAATTCCTCAGGGATGGAAGTCTGTCTGCCTCCTGCTCACAGCAATCAAACATGTGGCATTGGTCCACAGAGTATCAGAATGCCTGAGTCGCCTCCAGGCAAAAGGGAGGGGAACGTGCAAAGGATCGAAACCCTGTGCTCCCAACGAAGTCTGTCTCCATCAGAAAAAAACAAACCAAACAAAACCAAATTTTCTCTGAAGCCTGACTTAGGAGACTCGCACTAGATCTCAATGGCCAGATGTGGGTCATATGGCAAAACGAGGTCAAGGAAGACTCGGCATGGGCATATTTTTAACATAGTGCATTCTTGCTCTAAAACAAAATTGAGGTTCTCTTAGTAAAAGAGATTCTCTTAGTAAAAGAGAAGGAAAAATAGATACTGGGCATGTAACTATCAGTGTCTGTGCCAGAAGTATACACTTATACTTAAATGGTGCTTAAATGCCTGGTGATGCCTCGGACTTGATCTTGGGGTTTACCTATGTGTCTCTGAGCCAGAACACTGGTACACATAACTTGTAGTTTAAGTCCATCAATTTGCCAAATATATTAAATTAGAATTCTATAAACATTTCCCATTTGTAATGGTAGAGGAGGGTGGAGAGAAACTCATCTATTTCTTGTTCCTTACACATCAACCAGGCAACATGCTGCCCAAGATTTCTAGACAAATAATTAATGCAATTGTCCTTGTGCTAAGAAGGACAAAAGCCTAATTTATGATAATGACCAAAGTTTCCATAACTGTAGGATAAAACAGCTGACAGTTCCGTAATACTTTTCCTTGAAAGAGGTCAATTCTAGCTCATGGGTTTTCTTGTTCATCTTTACAACATACATATTATCTCCTGTGCTTCCAGTGCTCTTGTTTTTCAAGCCATTCAACTACCCACTTATGTGGAATTCAAGTCTTGCCTGCCTATTAGATTCATCCAGAAGAATTTTGAGGAAATACTAATGTCTGGAATCCATCCCCAGAGATGCTGATTTAATGCAGGCTTGACTTGTACCCCCCAGGTGATGCCAATGTGCAGCCCCAGAGATCAACTTCCTACACATTCTTATTCTCATTAGCTTCACCCTCCCAAAGTGTATTCTCAAACTTCCTACTCTCTGGCTTTTATCACCTCCCTATGTGATTGCCAATAACTCTGGTCCCACTGATATCTACAGTTCATTGATTTGCCATGTTTTTAATGTCTCTAATTTAGATGCTGTCCTCATTTTCTTCCTAAAGCACCTGAGTTTCCCAGCCTCAATTTTTAACCCCAGTTTTCCCGTTTTGTTTCTCTGGCAAAATCTGTTTTGATTAAACCCAACTCTCCACAGACTCTGAAATAGATCTCTGAGGCTAAATATGACTAAAGAAAGAAATTAAACAAACAGTCCACCACCACTAACTTCAAGTGGGTCCTTATTTCTTCCATCCAGTCTACATTACTCTTCTCTCTTCTATTATTTGCCTAAACTCCTATCGCATACTTTCCCTCCACATCTCTCCCCAGTTCTCCAATTGTAGCTGATGCTGTTGATTGAAACTTCACTGAAGAAATGGAGGAAAGGCTTCTGCCACTGGATGTATCAACTGGTTGCCACTCAATTTAATACTACCCCTGTTAACCAAAGTGAAATCCTACCAATGTCCACCCCTTTATGTACTGCATCCCATTTGATATCTTCAGGATACAGGTTGAAAGACATCATTCCAGATTCTGCCATCTCTCCCCTGCATTATCATTTTCCCTTCTTGACTGTATCATTCCCAACAGCATTGTATTCGCTTCCTTGCTGCTACTGCAAATTGCAACACATTTAGTGACTTAAAAGAACACTTATCTATTAACATACAGATCTGGAGATCAGAAGTACAAAATGGATTTACAGGGCTCCATATCCTTCTGGAGGATTTAGGTGAGAATTCATATCTATTTTTTTCACCTTCTAGAGGCTACCTGAATCCTTGGCTCACAACCCCTACTTTCATCTTCAAGTACAGCAATGTAGCATCCTTGAATCCCAAGCATTCTTTCACACACACACACACACACACACACACACACACACATACATCTGCTTCCATCTCCTCCCTTCTCTCACCCTCTTGCCTCCCACTTACCCTTATAAGGACCCATGTAGTTACAATGGATCTACCTGAATAAATGATACTGGATCCACATAGAAAATCCACACTAATCTCCTTCATCAAGATCATTAATCCAATCTTGCAAAATCTTTTGCTATGAAAGTTAACAAATTCACAGGGCTTGAGGATTAGGACATGGCCATATTCTGTGGACCATTATTCTGCTTACTGTAAACATTCAAACCTATTGCAATACAACCAAACTTTTTAAAAGAAAAAACAAAAACCTTTCCCTTGGCCCAGCAGCCCCTTCCTAATGCAGGTTTTTACCTCTTTCTTTTTTTCTTTTTCTCTCATTAAACTTTTGTTTTAATAGGTCTCAAAATTCTGTGACAGATTTTTGGTCAAGTTGTTTCCATTAAAAAGTACTGATTTTAAAAACTAATAACTTAAAACTGTCACACACATACAAAAAAAAAAAAAAAAAAACAAAATGGTCCACAAAACATTCTCCTTACCTTCTGAAGATTTTATGATGCATTGTTCTCATTAACCAGTCTTTTACTATTAAACTTAAATGGCCAATTGACACAGACAGTTCTGAGACCGTTCTTCCACCACTGATTAAGACTGGGGTGGCAGGGGATCCCCAAGTGGCTCAGCAGTTGAGCGTCTGCCTTTGGCTCAGGGCGTGATTCCAGAGTCCCGGGATTGAGTCCCACATCAGGCTCCCTGCATGGAGCCTGCTTCTCCCTTTGTCTCTGTGTGTCTCTCATGAATAAATAAATATTAAAAAAAAAAAGACTGGGGTGGCAGGTGTTAGGGATAATATTCATTTAGCCTTCTGAGCTTCCTGGGAAGACTTGGAGACCTGGCCAGCTCCAGCTGCCTTCTTGTCCACTGCTTGGATGACACCCACAGCAACCGTCTGTCTCATGTCACGAACAGCAAACCGGCCCGGAAGAGGATAGTCAGAGAAGCTCTCAACACACATAGGTTTGCCAGGAACCATATAAACAATGGCAGCATCTCCAGATTTCAAGAACTTGGGACTATCTTCCAGCTTTTTTCCAGAACAACAATCTATCTTCTTCAGCTCAGCAAACTTGCAAGCAATGAGAGCCGTGTAACAGTCCAGCACAGGTGCATATCCAGCACTGATCTGACCTGGATGGTTCAGGAAAATCACCTGAGCCGTGAAGCCAGCTGCTTCCATTGGTGGGTCACTTGCTGTCACCTGCCACATTGCCACAGTGAACATCTTTGACAGATACGTTCTTGACATTGAAGCCCACATTGTCCCCAGGAAAAGCCTCACTTGAAGCTTCATGGTGCATTTCAACAGACTTTACTTCAGTTGTAACATTGACTGGAGCAAAGGTGACCACCATGCCAGGCTTAAGAACCCCAGTCTCCACTCGGCCCATGGGACAGTACCAATACCACCAATTTTGTAGACGTCCTGAAGAGGCAGACACAAGGGCTTATCAGTTGGATGCGTTGGTGGCAAAATGCAATCCAGAGCTTCAACCAGTGTGGTTCCACTGGCATTCCCATCTTTACAGGTGACTTTCCATCTTTTGAACCAAGGCAAGTTAGCACTTGGCTCCAGCATGTTGTCACCATTCCAAACAGAAATTGGCACACATGCTACTGCGTTGGGGTTGAAGCCAATTTTCTTAATGTAGGTAGGTATTGACTTCCTTAATGATTTCCTTGTATCTCTTCTGGCTATAGGATGGCTCGGTGGAATCCATTTTGTTAACACCAACAATTAGTTGTTTTACACCCAATGTGTAAGCCAGAAGGGCATGCTCATGGGTCTGCCCATTCTTGAAGATACCTCTTCAAATTCCCAACACCAACAGTAACAATCAGGACCGCACAGAGACCTGCCTGTAATCATGCTTTTCATAAAGTCTCTGTGTCCTGGGGCATCAGTGATGGTCACATAATACTTGGCTGGTCTCGAATTTCCACAGGGAGATATGAATGGTGATACCATGTTCATGTTCAGCTTTCAGTTTATCCAAGACCCAGGCATACTTGAAGGAGCTTTTTCCCATCTCAGCAGCCTCCTTCTCAAATTTTTCGATAGTTCTTTTGTCGATTCCACCACATTTGTAGATCAGATGGCCAGTAGACTTGCCCGAATCTACCTGTAGACTTGCCCGAATCTACCTGTCCAATGATGACAGTGTTGATGTGAGTCT